CTCAAATTGACCCAAAATAACACTGAACAAAGCGTCCGGTCAGGTGTTTTTGGATGGACAGGTGACATCTCAGTTTGATGTCAAAAAATGTTGCTAGTTAAAGGACTGAAAAAAATTCACAAAGACCAGCAGAATACAATTGAAAACTGCCTCAAGCTCTGTAGCTCCTCATTTGCTATGGTCTTGTTTTCTCCTTAGTGATGAGTTTTGGCACTTTCATGTAAATCCATGAGCAGAACATGTTCATCACTTTTCTGTAAATGCATTATTCAAGAGTGGTCATTTTTTTTCCCCTTAACTATCCAAAACTGAATTGAAGAAAAAGTGAAAGGACAAGTTTATGGGTATGTGTGTATACATATACATACACACACATACCTATATACACATATAAAGGTTATAGTATATATATGTGCAGAGGTTATATATATGCACACATATACATATATGTATACATATATTTTTAAAAAATCCTTAACCTACAGGTAAATAGAATAAAATGTAATTTTTTAAGTGAATGTGGCTTCTGTGAATTGCATGCAAGAGATATTCTTTTAGTAATCTGTGGCATGATGCTGACACAGATGTGGCAGTTGGAGAGCTGGCCTGAGTGCCCTGAGACTGGCATAACCACAGCTTGGCTTGAGGATCTGGCTTGAGCTTGAGAAGGTGCCCAAGCTACAAGAACTTCAGAAAAACCAGGCTAGATGCACAGGACCCAAGGCGAATAGGGATGGAAAAGCCTCCCTTTCCTCTCTGGAGACCTAGCTCCGTTTTGCTGGGTTGTGCTTTGTTTGCTGGCCTGGTAAGCCACGAAGCTCCATCTTTGATTTGGGAAGGGCACATGACAAGATCAGAAAGCCTGATTTGGACCTGTATCTGTTTTTAACCTTTAAACAGGTTAATGATGGCAAATGATAAAATTCTTTAAAGCAGGGATATTAAAGCCAATATTTGATTATTTTAAGGCTCCCCTCCTTAGAAACAATTTTTTTAAGATAAAAATTTTTATTGGAGAAAAATAGAGACAGAGGGAGGAAAAGTGACCCAAAATTTACCTGACTCAGAAAGAACTATCTAAAAAATTTATTTATAATTTACAATAATTTTTTTAATTAAAATTTTTTTTTATTTTTAGGCTGTTGGGGTTAAGTGACTTGCCCAGGGTCACACAGCTAATAAGTGTCAAGCGTTTAGTCTGAGGTCGGAGTTGAACTCAGGTCCTCCTAACTTCAGGGCTGGTGCTGTATCCACTGCACCACCTAGCTGCCCCTATTTTAGGACTTTTCAGGAATTAGAATAAGAATGGGAGAAAATGTTTGCCTTCAAATGGAAAGGGGTTCTGGGCTGCTTTCAGAAACCTTAGGTCAGAAAGAGGCCTTCCCTGTGCCAGGAGGCCAGCCTGGCTGGCGCTTGCAGTGCCAACGTCATTCACAGCCAAGATGCAGGCTTGTTTCGCAGAATTGTGATTCTTGAAAGCGTTACCTGTTTGATATCCAGGAGTGGCTGCGCCTAAAACTTAAAGATGCTTTCTCCATGTAAGATCTGTTTTAAAAAGCATCTTTTCAGTGAAACTCAACGTCATGTAGCAGAGGTTAATAGTTAGTTCTCTTTGCAAAGGAAAGCACAAAGCATAGGTGAGTAACCAAAACTCAGGGTGCTTTTTCTCTCGATCCATCCATCTAGGATTCTGTACGGTATGTCGCGTTTGCTCGCGCGTTAAGTGTCCTGGACAAAGCCTCCTGTACACAACTCACATTTTGCCTCCTAGTCATAGGACAGAAAGGAATCCATGCACACCCCCACGCCCCCTATACCCTCCACTTCCCAATCAACCACAGGGACCTTTCACAGACCTCAAATCAAGTGAAGCATGAAAGAATGTTAAGAATTTGTCATCCTCAACTGCACGTGCAAAGGGTTCAACAGCATTCTCCTTTAATGTAAACCATGCTCTTTACATGGGCACATAACCACTGAAAAAGTGGCTTTCATTCATTCACTCATAAGTCGTAGGAAAAAAGTCCATTGATTGGAACAATAGGCTAGTTTATCTAACTGGCGACTGTGTATGATCTAGCAAGGGCTCAAAGATGGATGCTTTAGGCAACATAGCTGTACTGGTTTGGGTTCTCTTTGTCTCTTTCCATATAGTCCCTGTCGATTAAGGATTCTATTCTCTTCTTGAGATCACTGGGCGTAACTGGGAACCTCACTAATTGTATGCTTCTGAAATAAGCAGATTGTGGTCTAGAGCCTTCCTTATCTTCGTGATTCTCACAATTGCAGCATCAATGTGGTATTGTCGGTCCTGAAAGATCGTTTCTGTAGTGCTTGCTTGTTCCTCTACTGTTTCTTTCATCTGGATTTGATTGATTTTTATCCTGAAGAGCTCGTGTCTGAAGTCATGATTGCAAGTAAATTTATCACCATCTTCCACATCTTTGCCCTTTGGGATTTTTGTCAGAACTCTAGCTTTGCCACAGGCTAATGACTGAAGTGTTCTCCTCAATTCTCCATCCTCCATTCCTGTAGCTTTCTTGATATCTTCTACACTGAATTCTTCACCGTCATTAAATGTTAGCAACACCAGCATTTGGAAAAGACAGACCTGGAGTTCCTTTTTCCCCTCTTTAAATTCTGCCTTTAGTACACAGTGTCCTAGGGTTGATTGCCACTGAAGCTTCCTCCCACTGTGTTTACCTAAGTAAAAAGTCTTGAAAAGTTCCTGGAGTCTTACCAGCTCAGCTGGTAAGTGAACCTCCACAGGCACGTAGGTTGGCCAGTGACCCATCGTCAGGATATTCACAGTTAGTTCAATGCTAACAGGAAGGTGTTGGTTTTGCACATACTGTTTGAACTGAACTGTGATATCTTTGGATAGCTCCGTGCCTTTGAACGTTCCTTCCAGTTTGCTGGTGAACACGGCTCCACATTCATGCTTTAGTTTGGAAAGCATTGATTTTTCAGCATCTGCCGATGCACTCTTTCCAAACAACAGTCTTTTGACTAAACCCTTCTTATAAAAGGCTTCAAAGACATCTTTCCCATAAATGAACCGAAATATAGCCATGATCTTGTCCAACATTTTCTCCAGTCCTTCCTCTGTGGCGTCTCTGTCATGTGCGCGGAGCTTTGAGTCCACGTACTTTGCTGTGAGTTCAGCAGGCTTATTTGGCCTTTTGTTAATGAAGGTTTCAAATGCTTCTTTCGCGGCATTGACAAATCTTTCATTTTTCATGAAGCTGACTTCGATAATATAGTCAATTTTATCTTTAAAATCCAGCAATTCCTGCACCATGGTCTTATCTTTTTCAGGATTAATGACGATAGTGCTGCCAAATGCCTTGATGTATTCAGTCCAGTGCTGCAAGAGAAGTGGAATTCCGTTGCATACCCTACTGAACAGCTGATAGAGTAGAGACAAATTGTGAGTCTGATTTTCGTCCAGAAGGTGACTTAAGCCTTTCTGAAGGATGGCTGTTAAGTGCTCACCTAAAAGTTGCTTTTCTACGGTAGCAATTAGTGGCTTCTGCGTACTCAGATCTAGATAGGTGATCAGTCTGTCTTCTTCTTCTTCTAGACGTTTGTTGACATGATGAAAGTATTGAGAAACCTCTCTTTCTTGCATTAAACGCCAACCCTCTGCTGCGTATAGCTGGTTGGTTTCTTCCAAAAATTTCTGTTCAAAAGAATCTTGATAAATCTGCAAGTCGGAAAGCATACTCAGAAGGCTTCGAAGCAAACTTCTATCAATTGCGTCACCATTCCTTTCCCTCTCAATCAAAAGAAGAATGCCTTCTATAGTCTTGTTCTGGACTTTTTGATCACTAATTATGTGGGTCCTAAATAATTCTAGACCCATGTCCCAAATAGAAAGCAGCATTGAATTATGAAGAACATATGTTCTATCCAGGAACAAAAAAATGCTCCTAATCATGGACATTTGTCTGCAGTGATTATGCCAGCATTTATCTATCTTCTTTAGGAACAGAACACCGTCCAGTGAATCCTCTCGGAATTGGTGAATTTGGGATCTGATGTGCTCTTCACAAATCTGTCTTAGCTGTTTGTATAAGTTTGCAGAGACCCTATAGGAGCAGAGGCTTTCCACAGCCTGATAGAGTTCTTCTAGATTGTATGTGATCGAAGTGCTGTTCTGAATGGCTGCCACAGCTTCTTTGAGTTTCTGCCATATTTCATCTGTATAGTTTTCCGGCATAGGTTTGTCTTTAAAGTTCCTGATCACCAGTTTCTTGGCTGATCCTGGTTTGCTGTTGGTGAAGCTAGTGGTAGTAGTGGGGGCTTTGGTCAGCTCATTTGCTTGGTGCCCTTTAGCCATGGATGAGATTAATAAGTTTTTGTTTTTAAGTTCCTGCTGCTGAGATACAGCAAGGCCAGGTGCAGAAGAAGATGCCTGTTCCTCGGCCATCTTCACATCAAGTCCTATAACATCCAAGGAGTCTTCCAAGTGTAGTTTCTTCTGGAGGTGGTGATGGTTGGGGGCAGCAACTGAGAACCCTGGGCAGGAGACTGTAGAAAAGGCTGGAGCAGAGTTCTTGGGAGGGAGTGGAGGAGGGGAGAACCAGGAAGAAGGGATGCAATCAAGGTCTTCTTTTTTGTTGCTGCTGCTGTTTAACTTTCTATTCTTGGAACAGGAGCCGAAGGTGGCCAAGGTAGGGCTGGTGTGTCATGACCATCAGTGGCAGGCCTGACCTCCTGGGGAGGAGGAGCAGCCGCCGCAGCTGGGGGCTTGGGGGATGAGAAACCTGTTGGGAACATGAAATTGCCGGTGTCAGTAGGCTAGGAAACATGGAGTCCTTTGGGTGGGTGAAAAAGAAAAGGTGGAAAAGCAACCCATCCAGGCCCGAATGGGGGGCTGGGCAGGGAGAGGCAGGGATGTAGGGAAGGGAGCGACCCGGTCAGTCAGTCTGCTTCTTTATGAGTAGAGTGAAATCCTGATTGCTCTCCTTGGCTCTCATTGCTTTCCACGCGTGCAGGGATTCCTGTTTCCAGACTGGATGTGATCTCCCTGTTGGCGAAACAAGAGGCACGGTGGACAACAGAAGATGTCCCCAGGGGAACCTCGCCAGGTGAGTGAGTACGAAGCGGGTCAGGGGGCATCACTGCAGGCAGCCCCTTCCTGCACCCTCTGGGGCACCTCAGCTTTTACTGTGTGTTACAGTATTGCTTTCCAAAATGATTGTGCCGTTCTATAGCTTTAGCATTTGGGCAAAATCATGACTCTTTCTCCACGGAGTCCCTGCCATTATATTTCACAACTTTCTTTTGAATTGAATGGATTTGACAGATCTTAGAGATGTTTTCATATGCCTTTTTACAATTTTGGGAGAGTAAATACAATTTTTCCTACAGCCATTGTTTTTTGTGTTGCCTTTAAAAAATTCTTCACATCTTTTTAAAGATCTTTTTGAATTAATTAAATGTAAAAAAGATTTTTTACATCACCTTCATTTTCTTTTTCTTTTAAATTTTTATTTTTTGTTATTCTGAGCTTGATAAACATTACCAAACATGAACATTTCCATATGCAAAGAACAGACTAACAGGATTGCATATGAAACTGTCAATCTATTTCCATCATGTCTCCTTTTAAAAATATATATAATAAATTCAACACTTTAACCCCAAAGGTGTTGTGCTTATTTGTCTCCCTTTGAATCTCTTTTCTGTGCATTATTTTAAATGCTTTATTGATGTACTTTTCTCCCTCCTCCCACTTATTTTTGGCATTAACCTCTGATCATGCCCTCTGAAACCCTCTTTCATAACAACCATCATCTAGCAAAATACGTTCATGCATTAACCATGGCCAACAATGTAGATGCCATTCTGCATTCTTTACATCATCATTTTCAAATATGTCTTCCACCTCTTCCTTATGTGGAAGTCATCTAATGTCACAAAGAATAAAAATTGAGGGAAGGGAGGTTATTTCTAGAAAACGGACACATTAGTGTGTCTCACAGAGCCCTCAGGGCTCCACACATGCAGCCCCTCTCCATCGCAAAGAAAGGAGGCTAGGACATTTTTATCTCTCTGCTTCAGGGCTAAGCTTGGCATTAGATTTATCTAATATCCAGTGTGGGTTTTATTTGTTATTATTTTTCTCATTTAAATTGTTGTAGTCATTGAATATTTTGTTTTCCTGGTTCTGCCTATTTCTCTTTGCAACAGTTCGGGTGTTTTCCCATGATTCTCTGAATTTTTCACCTTTATTGTTTTGTGGTGCAGTGTCATGCCATTCCCCTTGTATACTGTGGTTTTTTTTTAGCTGTTCTCTCCCCAGTCACTGGGCATTAACTTCGCTTCACATTCTTTGGTACTACCAAAAATGCTGTTATGAATGTTCTAGTAGCTCAATTCAAATCCTTCTCCATAATGGAAGCAATATTTCTGTTATACTTTGTGTCAATTCCATATACATTTTGAGCATCATTAAAAAAATTTGTATTTCTTTAGTTTTTACATTACCCACATTTTCCACTATATCTCACTGTATTACCCCTCCCAAAGTACAAAGAAGAAGAGAAAAGTTTTTTTGGTAATACTAGACATCCTATCAAAATAGTCTGATTATATGTCTCTAGTATATATGTGGAAAGCATATGATTATGAATCACATAAAAGCAAATATGCAGAATTTATTAATATGTATATATATATATATATATATATATTTGTTTAGATAGTTACTTACATAATCCATCCCCATGGTGGAAGTGGGGCAGAGGGTATCTTTCAAATCCCTCTTTTGGGATCAAGCTTGGTCATTATAGTATTTCATCATTCAGTTTATGTTCTGTTATGGTACAGGTTCTCTTTCCATTTTCACATTTGCGTATGTTAATTTCCTAGTTCCACTTACTTCATTTTGCATCATTGCGTAGAAGTCTTTCCATGCTTCTCTGTATTCACCTTGTTCATTGTTTCTGCTGCACGCTCACATGGATGTCCCTTATTTTAATACCATTATAAGATTTTTTTTCAGGCTTTTCATTAGTTTTGGGGTTTTATTATAAATTTTAATTTAATTTACATGGCCAGATATTGATATTTAGAAATATTGAAAGAGCAGAAAATAAGAAAAGTGCATGTGCAAGGTAGAAAGCCAGACTACTAGATGGTACATAACTATCCCTGGGCCTGTGAACTACTTGGTATTTGTTAATGCTACTCCCAGAATTGAATTAAAACCTGTCTCGTCCACCCCGCCATTCATCTTTTCGTGTTGTTGTCGCCTTTTTTTTGCCTGCTCGCCTGTGTGTGAAGCATCAGTTTGTTGCTGTTTCTGTTTCTCCGTATGGCCACAGGCAGTGAATATGCTGCTCTTTCAGCTCATCTTCCCTTTCTCTGCACCGTGACCTAGATGTCTTCCAAGCTGTCTTTTGATTCTCCATTTTCACCCTTTGGCTGAATGATATTCCATTACAGTCATATATTATAATCACCCCTTCCCCAGTTTCTGGACATCAAGTATATTGCTTTCGTTTTGTTTTGTTTTGTTTACTATGCCCAGTAATGGTGCTAGGAATGTTTTTGTATGGATAAATCTTTTAATTCCTAGGATAATAGATCTTGAGTTGGAAGGGATTTCTGAGACCCTCTATTGCAACCTTCTCATTTTACAGTTGAGTAAACTGAGATCCAGGGAAGTTAAGTGATTTATCCAAGGCCATACAATTGGTGTCAGGGGTGGGATTGGAACCCAATTCCTCTCACTCAAGAGTCAGTATTCTTTCTACTAAACTATTCCACTAAACTCCATTCTTGTCAGTATATCATTTTTTGGTAAGATACATTGATGATAAACATTTTCCCTCAGTCTTTTTTTTCTTGGTTATTCTAAAAATAGTTATATTTTTATATAATTAAATATTTGTCATTATTTTCTAATGTCTTTTATTCCCAAATAGATAAGAATATTCTTACCTCTCCACAGTTGTGTTCTATACCTGTCATTTTCTTTAGCTATGTATCACCTGAACCACCCACTGCCACCCTTAGACCTGTACAAAACTACCTCACACACTACACACTTATTAGATCATAATCCTTTCCAAACTATAGCACAGAAGCCCCCACTAGTGTGTTTATTTTTACTAGTTAGCCTCAGGCAACACTTAGCTCACAGTAAAGGCATGTCAGGAAATATGACAGTAATATTAGTTACAACAGAATTCCCTCCCTCTCTCACATTTGGATATAATACTTCCATAAATACACACAGTTTTCCTTGGAAGAATGGATTTGCCTAGGGATCACTTTTGTGGAATGTTCGTATGAGAGAACCATGGTACCTGTACTGATGTTCTTTCAAGCTGCAAACATTTGTCTTCAGCCAGAAAACATGCCTCCAGGAGCATCTCATGTTTCCAGTAATGTAGTGCTATAAATCTCTTCTGGTGATATCATCCGGTTTCTTTCTGCTGAGTCTGCTTCTGTCTCTGCTCTTCGATCTCCATTGCTGGCCATCATTCTGTCTTAATTTTATTGTGTTTCAGCTATTTCAGTAACAGTATAAACTCTGTCGACAATCCATAGAAGGATGTGGTGTATAGTAAGACTTTCCCCTACAGAGCCATAGTTAAGTCAGTGAGCTCTTTTACACAGACACCTCTGCCATCTACTAGGTGGTCCCATGTTCCAGAAGCCCATCTTTTCAGCCAGATCTTTTGTTCAGTGACTGGTTTCAACTACCTCTTATCATCATTTCCCTCTCTTTTATATAAATCCCAAGAGTTGGACTGGTTGTAGAAGAGGTCAGGGCTTTTGACCTTTATCTCTATATCCTCCAGGCCACAGATCACATCCAGATCTGTCTTTTCTCCATAGATTTACAGTTTTTAAATTTTACCTTTCATATATACTTATAATTATTTTTATCCAGTTTTTTCATTTTCACATAATCAGATTTTTCCACAATTCCTTTACTTGAAAAGATTTTACATATATACACATATATATACATATGTGTGTGTGTATGTGTGTATATATACCAACTCTCTATAATTGAGATTTACATCACTTTAGACATCAGAGAATCATAAAAATTCAGAGTTGGGCAGGATCTTTGGTGCCCATATTGTCCAACGCACACTTGATGAAGAACACAGTCTATAACCTAGCTGACGAATGGCCATCCAGATTGTTCTTGAAGACCCCAGGTGAAAAAAAACCCTGTACTTCCCTGGGGCATTCCATTCCATTTTGGAAAGCTCTAATTATTGGGAAGTCTGTGTGCTTATTTGCCAGTTTTACCCTTTTCTCCTAATTCTGTCCTTTGATTTTAAGCAGACTAAGTTTAATACCCCTTGTGTATGACAACCCCTCAGATAATTGAAAACAGGTTTTAAATCCCCCATGAATCTTCTGCAAAAGACAACATAGTTAATAGCGAGCTGGTCTGAGAACACAAACATATTGGATGCAAGTCTAGCCTCTGACACACACTAGCTGTATAGCCCTGGGCAAAGTGTTTAATTTGTTAGTGCATTAGGCTACTCTCACTGGGATCTTCTCACACAGATGAAATTATATGTCCAGTGTGTGAGGGGAGGCTGGGAGGGGTGTCTTCTGCTGGCTAAATATCCCCCATTCCTTTAATTGAACATTGTTTGGAATCCAAGACCATTCATCTTATAATGTAGCATCAGACACTGAACATAGTAGTATAGATGTGGTCTGATCAAGAGAGGGCTTTGATTTTTCCCATTCTGTACTTTCTTCTTCACTTAAGGCAGCGTGAGACAATATTAGATGTATTGGCTGCCATGACAGTGCTTTACTTGAGCTTCCAGGTCACTAAAAATTTGGTTGTTCATTAGTCACGTCCAACCCTTTGTGACCCCATTTGGGGTTTTCTTGGCAAAGATCCTGGACTGATTTGCCATTTTCTTTTCCATCTCATTTTACATATGAGGAAATTGAGGCAAATAGAGTGAAGTGACTTGCCCAGGGTCACACAGCTAATTAGTGTGTGAGGCCAGATTTGAACTCAGGAGGATGAGTCTTCCTGATGCCAGCTGGCACTCTATCCATTATGCCACCTGGCTGACCTCACTAAAAAATCCCTGGATTTTTTCTTTTTTAAGATGAATTACTATCTAGCTACACCTCCCCTGTTTTTTACTTGCAGAAATGAGTTTCTGAACTCAAATATGAACAGTTCACATTTATGTCCATTATACATTCATTACGTTTAACACGCTGGTTTAGTCTGTTGGTTTTAACAGTGGTTTAGATCTGAATCCTCCCTATCATTTGGGTGCATGGATGGATATCCTTGCCGGTTTGTGAATTACTTTGGCTTATCATACATGTTTTTAAGTCACTGATTAAAACAGAATGGTGTTTTTTAAAATGGTGATTCCTTATTTCATTACATAATGATGTCATTAACACCTTTTCACAATTTGTCATATCTAAATATTTTGTCATTTTTTTGTTTTGTCATTTCTTATTTTTGTAAAAAAACCTCATCCAAGTTACATTATTTTATTTGATATATCATGCCCTTTTTGGGTGCTTTTAAGATCATCTTATGATTACATTATTGCTGATTAACAGTAATGGGTCTATATGAATTGAATTTGGGGTTCACCCCTGTTGCTAATCAATAAATTCTATGTTTAATCTGCCTTTCTGCCCATATTTTTGGAGTTTAAAGCAAATACACTTACTTAAATCTATTCATTTGAAAGTTAAGGGGCAGCTAGGTGGCGCAGTGGATAGAGCATCAGCCTTGAAGTCAGGAGGACCTGAGTTCAAATCTGGCCTCAGACCAAAACACTTGACACTTACTAGCTGTGTGACCCTTGGCAAGTCACTTAACCCTAATTGCCTAAAAAAAAAAAAATTAAAAAAAAAAAAAGAAAGAAAGAAAAGATATCACCTGTGATACGTCACTGGTCCTCTCTTGAGAATAAAGGACAAACAACAACCACCCTCTGGAAAATGGATACAATTGTTTTCTTCACAATTTTGGGGATTCCCAATAAATCTTAAACTTTACCCAGTTAGCATCTTCCAGATATGTCAGTTTTGTCTGCATTTATTTCAATTTTAATACATTTCTAAATAAGCAATTCTCTGAGGTAGTTTTTCCTCCTGCTTTTGTAGATTTCCACTCTTTTATATTGCAGATTATTCCGCTTTTTACTGAGTATTCTTTTTAATGACCTATGTAAGTGTTCTCAGTGCCTTGCAATATAATGCATTTAGTCATGTCCAGTTGGGTGCTCTTTTATTATCACCTTATTTGTCTTTGGCATCATTTCCCCAAAACAGTAAATCTCTGATTTCCTTTAAGCCTCTGCTCAAGTACCAGCTTCTCCAGGAGGCCTTTCCCAGAGCCCCATCTGTTACTGTGTTCCCCTTCCATCTGCTACTCAGTATTTATCTTCTCTGTATCAATTTGTGTGTATGTCAGTCCCATTAGAATGTAAGCTGCTTGAGGGCAGGGATTAATTTTGTTTTTTATTTGTGGTCCCAGTGCCGGGCACATTACCTGGCACATAATAATCACTTAAATGTTTATTAATATTTTGTGTGATTGGTTCAAATTAAGCATCATTTTCTTCCATGAGATGGAAACTAAACTCTTCTAAAGAAGAGTCAGTACTGCAATCAGTGCCTAATTACTTTTTAAAACATTTCTTTTAGATTCCTTTAGTGAGGAGACCAGGTTTGAACCCAAAGTTTCAAGTCTGATGCAGGCCATTTGCCTGGGAGCATCATTCAAGAAAAGACTGACAAAGAATTCAGTAGCCTGGCATTCCAAGATGAGAGAACCTGGGGCATGTAATGTTAATTTAGCAAAACAGGACAACCAGGAGGGACAGTCCAGAAAAATGACAATCACTTCCAGAACAACTTTTAATAATGTGAATGTACCTCACTATGATAAATTTGAGAAAAGTTTTAGTCTAGGGTCAAATTTTGTTCCCCCATGGAGAACTATGGGGAAAGGTCTCCATAAATACAAGACACCTAGAAGATGCTTCAGGGGTTTTCCTTATTTAATTACAAGTAATAGATTCTTCTTCCAGAAGGACCTTTGTAAGTATACCAAATGCAAGAAGCCCTTCAATTACCACTCAGACTTAATTAAATTTCATAAAATACATGCTGGAGGAAGGCTACATGAACCCAATGAATGTGAAAAAGCATTTGGCAAAAGATCAAATCATATTGGACATCAGAGAATTCATAATGAAGAGAAACATTACAAATGTAATAAATATGGGAAATTCTTCAGAGACAGAAAAGGCTTGATTAAACATAATGTTATTCATATTAGAAAGAAATCTTTTGCACATAATCAAAGTGAGAAAGCCATCAATGAAAAGGGACAGGTTAATACACCACAGAAAACTCACAATGAAGAAAAACTCTTTAAATGTAATGAATGTGGGAAAGCTTTCAGCCGGAGGGGAAACCTAATGAGTCATCAGAGTGCTCATACTAGAAAGAAACCCTTTGCTTGTAGTACATGTGGAAAAACTTTTAGCCATAGGGGAAGCCTAATGAGTCATCAGAGTGTCCATGTTGGAGACAAACCTTTTGCGTGTAGTACATGTGGAAAGGTCTTCGGCCAAATGAGACACCTTATTATACATAGGAGAAATCATAGTGGAAGGAAACCCTTTGTCTGTAGTGAATGTGGAAAAGCCTTCATCAGGAGAGGGCACCTTATTACACATCAGAGAATCCATACTGGAGAAAAACCCTTTGCCTGTAATGAATGTGGGAAAAAGTTCAGTGAGAGGAGAAATCTTATTACCCATCAGAGAATTCATACTGGAGAAAAGCCTTTTGTTTGTAATGAATGTGGAACAGGCTTCCGACAAAGAATAAGCCTCATTATACATCAGAGAACTCATACTGGTGAGAAACCTTTTTCATGTAATGAATGTGGGAAAGGCTTCAGACAGAGTGGACACCTTACTACACATCAGAGAATTCATACTGGACAGAAACCCTTTAAATGCAGTGAATGTGAGAAAACCTTCAGTGAGAGGAGAACTCTTATTACCCATCAGAGAATGCATACTGGAGAGAAACCCTTTATATGTAATGAATGTGGGAAAACCTTTACCCAAAGGGCAAGCCTTATTACTCATCAGAGGACTCATACTGGAGCCAAGCGCTTTGAATGTAATGAATGTGGGAAAGCTTTCTTCAGGAGGGGACACCTTATTACACATCAAAGAATTCATACTGGAGAGAAACCCTTTGCATGTAATGAATGTGGGAAAACTTTCAGTGAGAGGAGAAACCTTATTACTCATCAAAGAACACATACTGGAGAGAAACCTTTTACGTGTAATGAATGTGAGAAAACCTTTACCCAAAGGGCAAGCCTTATTAGCCATCAGAGAAATCATACTGGAGAGAAACCCTTTGCATGTAATGAATGTGGGAAGACTTTCAGTGAGAGGAGAAACCTTATTACCCATCAAAGAGCTCATACTGGCGAGAAACCCTTTACATGTAATGAATGTGAGAAAACCTTTACTCAAAGGGCAAGCCTTATCAGCCATCAGAGAACTCATACTGGAGAGAAACTATTTCCATGTAATGAATGTGGGAAATCATTTACCCAAAAGGCAAGCCTTATTACTCATCAGAAAACTCATACTGGAGAGAAACCCTTTGCATGTAATGAATGTGGGAAATCATTTACTCGAAGAGCAAACCTTATTATCCATCAGAGGACCCATACCAGAGGAAAACCTTTTCAATGTAATGAATGTGAAAAAAGCTTCAACCAGAGAAAACATCTTATTGCACATGAGAGTATTCATACTGAAGAGAAACATTTTGAATGTAACGAATGTGGGAAAGCCTTCAGTGGGAGGGGATGCCTTATTAGGCATCAGAGAAATCATACTGGAGTGAAATGTACTGAAGATGATAAATACAAAGAGTAGCATAAAATGATTCAATGTCAATATGTCCAGTGAATTACTCCAGATGTTCTTTAGTTCTACACTGTTTAACATTGTTATCAATCACTTAGCTGTCATGCTTATCAAATTTGCAGATGACTTGAAGCTGGAAACCATAGTTAAACACTGTATGACAGTCAGTGTGAAAAAAGATCTTGAGGCTAGGATTTGGGGCTGAAATATGAAATTCAATAGAGATAAATGTAAATAAAGACTAAAAGTTCTAACTGGAAAGAAAAGGCAAAACGAATCAACTTCACAAGTCAGTTAAAAAAAAAAACATTTATTAATGTTTTACTTTACTATGTACTAGGCATTATGGTACAAAGAAAAAAATTTCCTGACACCAAGGAGCTCACATTTTAATGGAAGAGACAACATGTAAATAATTACGTACACACAAGATATACACTACAGAATTGAAAGGTAATCTTAGAAATGAAGGTACTAGTAACTGGGACAACAAGGAAAGTCTTCCTCCAGAAGGTGGGATTTGGGCCCAGTCTTGGAGGAATCCGGGGAAGGTAAAAGACGGAGGAAGACAGAACATTTCAAGAACTGGAGACAGCCTTAGGCAAGAGCAGAGATGGATTGTTGTGTGCTATAAACAGCACATAGGCCAAAGTACCTTGCCATCAAGTGTTTGGGAAGAAAGAAAGGATGAAAAGAAACCTAAGAAGGCAGGAAGGGGTCAAGGTGTAAAGAGTTTTAAATGTCAAACCAAGGATTTTGTTTTTAATCTTGGAGGTAATAGGGAACTTCTGGATTTTATTGAGTGGAGGGGAAGTGACATCACCAGACCTAACATTTAGGAAAATCACCTTGACAGCTAAGTGAAGGTTGGATGGAAACAGGGATAGACCTGAAACAGGGAGACCAATCAGAAGGCTATTTCATTTGTCCAGACAAGGAATGATTGGGTAGTGATGGGTTTTTGTTGTTTGTTTTGTTTCTGAAAGTGCTGTCAATAAAACACTTAAAAAAGAAAACAATGTTCTGTCTTTGGGAACAACTGAGTTTGAAAACTAATCAACAATTAGTGGCCATTCTGTTTTACATTAAAAGTTATCTTAAAACATTCACACTATAGTTTTCTTAGTAGAGTAAATGTAGTAGAGTGACAAGGAGTTAATCAACAAACATTTATTATTACATTATGGGAGGGGGGAGGGGGAAGAGGGGAAGAGAGACAGACTGACAGAGAGGCTATTCAGGGGAAAGGCAGTAGTAACTATTGGGAGTGATCAGGAAAGGCCTTGTGGAGAAGGTGGATGGCACTTAAGCTGAGGGATTCTGAGAGATGGAGGTGAGGAGGGAGTCCGTACAGAGGCACGGATGTGGGAATGGAGTATCAAATGTGAGAATGCTAAGAAGGCTAGTTTGGGTGGATCATAATTTCAAATGGAGGTGAATAATAAGTAAAGAGGCTGGAAAAGCATTTTGGATATAGATTGTAAAGGGCTTTAAATACCAAAAAGAAATTTTATTCTGGAGCTAATAGGGAACATAATTTTTTGAATAGGGGAGTGGGACAGGTTTATACTTAAGGACAATCACTTTGGCAGCTAAGTGAAGGATGAGTTGGAGAGGGGAGATACTTGAGGCAGGAACACCAATTAGGAAATTATTGCAATAGTCAAGTTAGAGGTGACGAGGGCCTGAACTAGGGTGTAATCTGGGAGCGAAGAGAACAGGGTGTATGCAAGACATGTGGAGACAGAAATGACAAGTGTCTGGTTTGTGGCACCAGGTTTTAAGGACATTGTTAAGCTGGAGAATGACTGACCAGGGTGGTGAAGGACCTTAAGTTCATTTCATATAAAGATTAATGGATGAAATAGGATGCTTAGCTCGAGAAGAGGAACCACTGGGCAAAATGAGCACTTTCTTCAAGAATTGGAAGGGCTTTCAAGTGGAAGAGAGATTTGGTTGGGCCCAGGAGGCAAAACTGGGTGAGATGGCTAGAAGTTGCATGGAGATAAATTTCAGCTCACTGGAAGAAGAGACAGCCTGTCCAGGAGGTGAATGGGCTGCCTCAGGATATAGCAGGTTCCCCGACTGGAACACATTAAATGAAACTTTTAAGTAATTCAGCAGACATTTCTTAAGCACATGCTGTATGCAACGGATTGTGCCAGGTGTTGGAGAGGAACAGGGAAAAGTCTCTTCCTTCCACAAGCTTTCATTCTATTAGGAATAAGCAGTATGTATATTGGAGTGGTGGCAGGAAAGGGGCATCATAGGTGATGAGTTAATTCACAGGCAGTTGTCACTTTGAAAGAAGAATGGTAGTATGGTAGTGTTGATCTGATTACTGAGGAAAGATGAAGAGGCAGAAAGAAAGATTGTGGATGCCTAGATGAGATGTGAAGAACCGTTTGGTTTGGTGGTCTGGGTCTCACACACGGTCTATAGTGTGCTAGCTGAATTTGCAGCTCATTTGCTTGCCAGTCACCAGGGTGGAAGTTTGGAACTTGGTGTATTAACTCCTTAAGGGAATGGAAATTTCTTCTGGCTGTCCAGTATGGAGGTGCTGTTCCAATTGGGGAGAGGCTATCAGCAGCAGGGCAAATGGCAAGATATCTGGGGTAGATGGCTGGAAAGGATGTAAATGGCTGGTCTGGGTCTGCTAGATGGAGAAGGTTGGTTGGATTTCCAGCTCATTTCCTCATGTGGTAAAAGCAGCACCTATTTCACATAGATTAGGCTAATTTTGCATAATCTACTAAGGTTTCTGCCATGAAAGCTAGGCTGCTATTCCCCTAAAAGTTAAACAGTCGAGATTTACTTAATCCAGGGGACTAAACTGGTACAGTTGACTTAACTTCCTGATCTCCTAAATATAAAATCTAGTCATTGAACAGTCAAGGCTTTTAGTCATGAAGGATCCATTGTTTCTTGGGAGTCAACATACTCTTTGAGGGGCACTTCTATTTATTAATACCAAAGGAACTATATCCATCTGAACCAATACTTTGTCAAAGTATCTTTTCTGTGCTTTTGTCTCTCATTTTGCTTCATTCTAGGGCCTGAACCATAGGACTGGCCTGTGTCAGGTCAGAGGCATAACAAGTTTTAAGAAGGGAAAGCCATTTGCACTGAGTTACCCATCATTCCAGAATCACAGAATTGGAAGGTCCTCACCACTGACACTAACCTATAACCGGCAGAGAATTCCTTCTATAGCATCCCTTTTTTTTTTATCCCCTTTGCTTGACTATGATCTGAGATTTAGAGCTGGAAGGTCTAGTCAACTTGTTCACTTTACAGAAGAGAAAAATATATAGATATTAAGTGACTTATCTAGGGTCGCACAGTAATTCTGAGGCAGGATTCAAACCCAGTCTTCCTGGCTCCAAGTCCAGTGCTCTGTGTACTTGACATATGATATGCTGATAGTTTAAAAAAAAATAGATTTAAGCTGGAGAGGAGTAAGCCTAGTACAAGGTCAAGAGGTCAGAGATCATATCGATATGGGCATTCCTTCCCCTGGAACACATCACAATCAATCCATGGCTGTGCCTATGCCACGTAGAAATGTGTCTTTCTAGGTTTCTCCTAACATCTTGAGGTTCTCATTTTGTGTAAGTGGGCTTATAAATTAAATAAAGCACTGTATTATCTCATAAATGTGTCAGTTGTTTTAAGTACAGCCCAGGGGAAGAGTGTTTTTCTTTATTATTTAGTGGGTTTATACTCAACCTGAACTCTTTGAATACAATCCTTTTTGGCTATGGGGTGTTCTTCATAAGAAAATGAGATCATCTCTTCTGTACCTTTCCCCCCCTTCAAATTAGAAGATGGAGATTGAGAAAAATAAAGGGAAACAATTGAGGACTTGTTTAACTCTGAGGGACAGCCTTGAAAATTAGAAGTTGTCATCACTGCTTGTTAAACAGAATGGAAATTTGTTGTTTAGTCATTTCAGCTGTGTCTGACTCTTCATGACTCCATTTGGGGTTTTCTTAGCAAAGATACTACAGTGGTTTGCCATTTCCTTCTCCAGCTTATTTTATAGATAAGGAACTGAGGCAAACAGAGGTAAGTGATTTGCCCAGGGTCAGACAGCCAATAAGTGTCTGAGGCCAGATTTGAACTCAGGAAGCTGTGTTTATTTTTTTTTTTCCAGGCCCAGCACTCTAGGGTCTCAAAGATTAAAACTTTATTTAAAAAAAAATCATTTTTAAAAGTCTTGATATAGCATGGAAAAGGCCAGCATTGAATTTTCATGAAGTTATACATTCTGTGGGGTGTTAAAATACAAATGTTGGGAAACAGCTAGACAGATAGTGATTTTGTGGAAGAACTTCGAATTCTAACAATCACTCACCAGAGAACCAAAGATTAAATGTAAAAGTTGCACCTTAGTCTATAAAAGATTTAGAAAACCTTAAAGACGTTGTGCTGTTTTACTTAAATCTGGCCTTTTATTTTCCATGAATTTTAACTTTATAAAATAACAAGTTAGCAAACATGTGAATTACTTCAGCAAACTGTCATAAAACCCATTAAGTAAAAGTAAAAATGGGCAGCTAGGTGGCACAGTGGATACAGTGCCAGCCCTGGAGTCAGGAAGACTTGAGTTCAAATTCAGCCTCAGATACTTAGTAGCTATATGACCCTGGGCAAGTCACTTTTTGCCTCAGTTTCCTCATCTGTACAATGAACTGGAGAAGGAAATAGCAAATCACTCTAGTTATTTTGCCCACAAAACCCCAAAAAGGGTCATGGACGCCTGAAAAGAAAAAATACTGATGAATCATCATTCATTAATTTGTTTGGGACTGTTCCTTCTTTTGCCATTTTCTTCTAGAGAAGTTTCTTGTGCTGTTTGATGCATTTTTTCTCATTTTTCAAGAGTCTTGCGGTGGCCACCTCTTCCACAGACAACTGCCCTTTTTTGGAAAGACTTTTTGGGACATTTGACTTTACGTCTGCCCTTTCTGAATTGTTGTCTGTGACACTTTGTTTCCTTTGGGTGATGAACTTGCCCCCCTGCGAGTCCTCTGGGAGGCAGTGGATGCAGACAGCCCCCTCCCCAACCTACTGCACTAGCACCAACGCTAAGGTCACTGTAGATGCAGCTGTGGTCTCCGTGACTGATGATGACTTGAGTCAATTCCTGTCACGGGGGCTTGAACTTGGACACACTGTTTCAACAGCGCTGAGGACCGAAGTTGCATAGTCGCCTCTTTTCTCACCTCCTTTCTCCTGTGACCATTGACAGAAGCTGCCAAGATGGTGCCCTGGGAGCAGGATGGCAGCTGGTGCTCATGGAGATCGACAGGACGTGCCGGCTCGTTCTGGAGCCAGGATGGGGGCGGATCTCTCCTTTCCACCATGTCACACTCCGGTCTAAGGCCCCCTCCCTCCACCCGGCCGCCCCCACCCCTCCAGCTGCCACGCCAGGCCCTCCTGTGCGGGGGCATCCTAGCTGGCCCCAGCCTGGCCTCCCCCGGCTCTACAAATCTAGCCCTACGGCTGCTCGTTCCTCCCGTGGGACCTCGGCCCGGGGCTGCAGGGGGCGCGTCAGGCCGGGGGTCACTCCTGCCCAGGCCTCTGCCCACCCTGCGCTGGTGCTTCCAGCCCGGGCCTCGCTGGGACGTCGGTGGCTCTGCTGCGGGCGAAGCTGCCCCGGCCCTCGGACGAAGTTCAAGAAGCGCCTCCAGGAGCCAGGATCAACGTGAAGGGATAGGGGCCCACGGGCAGAAAGGAAAAAGCCCTGCCCCCCCTCCACTAACGGGAGCTTGCATTCCCCACGGGGGACAGTGGGTATAGGGCCACGCACCAAAGGCCTCCGTGAGCGTCCCTGCAGCTCTGCCAGAAGGGCCTGAAGGGCTGGGGGCAATCCGCCCTCTGCCTTGTGCGCAGGCGCACAAGTCTCGCTCCGGCAAGGAAAGGGGACCGTAGAGCAGTCTGGTAGATGTAGTTCTGGACAGAGCCTGAGCAGCGCGGCCGAGGCGGGCTCTGACGGCACCTGGACTCCATTTCCCAGAATGCTTCGGGAGGCTCCTGCGGGTCTGGGGCGCTTCGCGCCTGAGCCATTCAAAGAGGACAGGCGCATCGCGCTGTGCGTTGGGAGTTATCTCGTGAGGCCCGTCATCCGACATTCGCGCCTGCCCGGTGCGTGTCTTCGGCTTGGAGCCCACAGCGTTGAGTGGGAGCGTTTGCAGACATCCACGAGCCCAGTTCCTCGCTCCCCTACCCCTCCTGGCGGGGTGCGTCTCCACGCCCCTGAGCCCTCAGGGTGAGTGAGTGCGCAAGCGCGTTGTTTGGGACGGGCCACCCACCCCCGCCCTCTTACTCAACAATATTCAGGAGAGGGAGTGCGCAGGCGCGGTCAGGGAAGGGCGGGTGCTTGGGGCGTGTCAGTAACTGATACGAGGTGGGGTGGGGAGGTGGAGTCCAGCATCCGTGTCTGAATGGGGGAAAAGCCGTAAGTTTGTCCCTAGCCTTTATTAGGTGCGTACAGTGCACCTGGCGCTGGGCTAAATTCGGCTTGGGGGGAGGGGGTGTATCAAGAAAGGCAAAAGGCAGTCCCTGCCTTCAGGGAACTTCCAGTCTAATGGAAGAAACCACCTGCGAATCTCCATTACAGATTTTGTGTAGGAGCAATCAGGAAGGGCTTCCTGTAGGAGACGGATTTGACCTTTCTTGGCATGGAGCACAGCCCGCCAGGGTCAGGGGCCAGTGGCTGGCATCCCTGGCTTGCAAGAATATGGGGTGCAGAGCAAGAAGACTGGAAAAGGAGTGGGGCTTGGAATGCCAAATAGATTTTATATTTGATCTTGGAGGCAATAGGGAGCCAATGGAGGTTATTGAGTGTGGGAGTGACCTAGTCAGACCTGCGATTTAGGAAGACCACTTTGGTGGCTGAATGGAAGATGAGCTGGATAAAGGAGAGCTTTGAGCCAGGCAGACTCCTCAGCTGCTATTGCAGTAATCCAGGCGTGAGGTAATGAGGGTCTGTATTCAGGCTGCCTAATGGCCAGGGGTGTGCTGGCAGGTTTTTTTTTTTTTCCAGTTGCCGATTCTTTCCCTTACTCCACCCATTGAGGTTCTAAGAAATATGATGTCCATCATACATATGAAATCATGCAAAACTTATTTCCTCTTTAGCCGTGTTTAGAAAGGGAAAAAACGATAAAAATATACTTAAATCAGCATTCGGAGTCCATGAGCTTTCTGGAGTGGGATAGCATTTTTCATCCTTTGGAATTCAAGTCCTTTGGAATTGTCTGGGATCGTTGTACGGATCACAGGAGCTAAGTCTTTCACAATTGTTTATCTTTGCAGTATTGTTACTTTGTAACGTGGTGACTACATCAGTTCATATGAGTCTTCCCAAGTTTTTCCGAAACTATCCCTTTCATCATTTCTTACAGCACAGTAGTTTTCCATCACGTTCATATTTGCTGGTAGATGTTTAACAACTGGCTGTAGGACATGCTGTTGAGTTGAATCTGTGTTATTAACATTTTCTTTATCACTTCCTTAAATCTAGGTGTAGACAGTCAATAAAACCCTAAGTCAAGCCCTGATTTGTAGCCTTTGCTGATTTCTGAGGTGAAATATAGCAATGGGACTTCATATCTGGCTCTAGCAACCCCCTGCGATGGTCAGTGTCAGAGAAGGAAGGGGCAAGGTTTTTGACAGGCCTAGAATATGTCTTGGGAAAGGAATGATGAGTCCAGGATGATACCTAGGTGTTGAGCCTGAGTGACTGGGAGGATGGTGTTGCCCTCTACAGTAATAGGGAAGAAGGGAGAGTTTGGAGGGAAAGAGAATGAGTTCAGGTTTGTACGTGTTGAGGTTTGGATGTCTGCTGGACATACAAGTCAGATGTCCAGCAGGCTCTTGGAGATGTGTGACTGGAGGTCTGGAGAGAGGTTGAGCCTATCGAAGCAAATCTGAACTGCATAGAGATGATTCTTGAATTCATGTGGAAATGGGGGGTGGGGAATGAGAGGCCCCAGGACAGAGCCTCACGGGATATCTGGGATCAGTAGGTGAAAGCTGAGTGAAGATCCGGTAAAGGAGACAGAGGAGGAGTGGTCAGAGAGGTAGAGACAGAACGAGGAGAGAGGATTGAGAAGAGATGGACAGTGTCAGAGGCTGCAGAGAGGTCAAGAAGGAAGAGGACCTTGCCATTAAGAGATCATAGTAACTCAGAGAGAGAAGTTTCTGTGGAATGATGAGGTCGGAGAGTTGAGGGGAAAAAGATGGAGGTACCTATTGTAGGTGGCATTCTCAGAGTTTAGCCACGAAAGGGAGGAGAGATAGGGATGACAGCAGCGATTGATGGATCAAGTAAGGGTCTTTTGAAGATGGGGGAGACAAGAGCATGTTTGTAGGCAGCAGGGACGCAGCCAGCAGATGGGGAAGGGTTGAAGACAAGTGAGAGTGGGCAATCTGCTGGAAAAGAAGGGATGGAAAGCAATCTGGAGTTGCTTGGGCATGTAGAGGGGTTGGCCTTGACAAGGAGAAAGGGGTAAGACAGGGCTGAAGGAGCAGATGGTGTTAGGAGGCATCTGGGTGATGTGAGGTAGGAAGGAGAGGAGAGCAGGGAGTTACAGCAAAGGGCCTCGGTTTTGTTAGTAAAATACAAATCAAGGTTCTCAGATGAGAGGGTTGGAGGAGGGGAGGCCATGGGAGGGCTGAGGAGGGATGAGAAGGTTTGGAAGATCTTGTGGAGTTGGGATAATGATGAGTCAATTAGGGCAGTGTAAAGGGTTGCTTAGCAGCCAGGAGGGCGTGTTGATGTGTGAAATCCTAACACTTGGGAGATGTTCTTCCTACCTTGCTGGTAGCCCCCAAATGCTCTGTCTTCTTGGTATTTGCTTTCTTGCAAAGTTCGTGAAGGTCATGTCCAGGATGAGTCCTGAGTTACCCTTACTTCTTGAGATTGGTTTCCCAGCTCCTTCGGCCTCCATCATTTCTCTAGCATTAGTACCTCCTGATGGTCCTCAAGGGGCTAGCCCCAGACGTACAGTGTTCAGCTGGGGGTGGGGATCTGAACCCCAGAGTGAAGGTTCCAATTAAATTTAGGCCCCCAGGCTCCAGCTTTACTGGGAGGTGGTAGAGGGATATCCCAAGAAAAAGACCACGACCCAGGAGAAGACACCTGCCCTGAGACCTTCCCCCAAAGCTTGAGGGCAGCCCCAGCACCTGGCATTGCTGGTGCGGCGATTCCAGCCTGGCTGGGCAGAGACTACTGCAGTGGAGGAAACAGCGAGGAAGGAGTTGTCCATGGAGGACTCGTCTCTTATGCTTGAGGACAGAGGTGAGGACGATGGTGGTGTTGGGGGGAGGCCGGAATCCTGCCCAGTACGGGAGACAGAGACAAATCCCTCAGAGTGATTTCTGAGCAATTGTTCTAGGAGGGAAGGAATGAATACAGTACCTAACCCCAGCCTCTATGTCTCTAGCTCTCCTCTGAACCACCCAGTAGATACCATTAGGTGGCTCAGTCACCAGAACTTCTGGCCCATTGAATTGGTTCCATTCTATCAATCATTAAGCTTGCCAGTGTGGAGTGAAAGGATGGGAAGGGGGACAGCGAGGTGGCACAGTGCATAGAGCTCCAGCCTTGGAATCAGGAGGACCTGAGTTCAAATGTGGCCTCAGGCACTTGACACTTAACTAGCCGTGTGACCCTAGGCAAGTCACTCAACCCCGATTGCCTCACCAAAAAGCAAAAACAAAAAAGGATGGGAAGGAGGATCAAGGTCACAGAGGAGGGTAGAATGAACTTTCAGTGGTGTTGTTGGCAGCTTGGGCCAAAGGACTAGGAAAGCTGTGGGAGGTGGGTTCACATTGAATGTGGGGCTTGAGAGTGAGGTGGGGCTTGGGGGGGAGGCCCTCTAGAGTGATCCTGAGCAGCCGCAGGCAGGGTTGATCTCCCTCCCCCAGGACTGCTTTCTCCTCCTGCAGCTGGTCTTCCTCAAGACAACAGTATAGAGGAGGAGGAGGAGGAGGACGAAGGAACGACTTCTGGATTCTGCTCTGCCCGGGTTCAGGTGAGTTCATGTTTACTCTCTCCCGTCATTTCATACCATAGCATTCCTTAGTGTTTAGATAGGTTCCTTCCCTTCTTTTCATTAGTTTAAGTTGATCCCCTTCCTGTCTATATCCTACCATTCTCCAGGGGAGGCTCTGGCTGTTGTCAGTGATGGGTATAAAGTTTATGGATGATTAGAGTTGGAATGTCTTCATAATATCAATAGGCAGATTTTAGGGTGAATGCAGCGTTGGATAAGGAGTTTTTTTGTGGTTGTTATAACAAGTTAATTAATGGTGCAAGTTCAGCATGTGACTATGGCTTGAGAAGTTGGACTTGATGATCTCAAATTTCCCTTCCAACTGGTTTTTAAAAGATTTTTATCTGCATTTTTTGTTTTTGCATAGTTTAGATTTCCCCTGTATCCCTTCCTTCTGCCCACCTCCACAGAGCCATGTTGTATAACAGAATTTTTTTAAAAGAATAAACAAAGATAAAGAGGAGAAAAAAATTAGCAAAGATGAATACTTTGAAAAATTCTGACATTCTTTCCAACATTCCACATTCCTTTTAAGTTTGCCACCTTTGTTTTCTACAGTTGTTTTGTGGTTTTCATTCTTTCCATCTCCATAGTTGTAGTCATTTCCTGGCTCTCCTTACCTCACTGCATCAGTTCACGGAAGTCTTTCTGTGCTTCTTTGGACTCCTGGTTGTCTTTTCTTATAGTACTGTGATGTTTCATTATATTCAAGTATTTCAGGTTGTCCTGTCTTTCCCCAATTGATGGGCATCTGCTTCATTTCCAGTCCTTTGCTAAAACAAAAAGTGCTCCTAGGAATATTTTGGTGTCTCTGCAGCCTTTCTTTTTGTCACTGATCTCCTTGGGGACTGTCCCTAGCAATAGAATCTTTGGAACAAAGAATATGGACATTTTAACCACTGTACTTGTATAATCTCAAATTACTTTCCAGAATGGTTGTGGCTCATTCACAGGAACACCGAGAATGCATTCTCCAGACTGAATTTCCAGTCACCTCCAACAGTGATCATTCATTCCTGTCTTTTGTCATCTTTGCTAGTTTGCTGGATATGATGCCTCAGTTGTTTTGATTTGCATTTTTCTTATTATTAGTCATTTGGAGCATTCTTTTATATGGTTGTTAATTATATTAAAATTTTATCTTGTTCTGGTTCCCTTTTCCATCTCCCTGTTTCTGCTAGTTGTCTGCATATCTTGGACACCAAACTTTTATCTGAGAAGTTTATTATCCTGGATACATTAATTTTTTGGTGCAAAAGCTTTTCAACCTCATATCACTTTTATCTTTTTGAATTGCTTCTGTCCTTTATCTGGTTAAGAATTCACATCCTGCCCATAGCTGTAGGAAGTATATGGTCTGCTTCCCTTTTTTTTAGTAAATGAATATCTTCAGTATTTGGGTTGCATATCCATTTTGATTTTATTGTCCAATATTTTTAAGATGGTGGTCTAAGCCTCATTTCTCCCAGACTGCTTTCCAGTTTTCCCAAATAGAGAATTCTGTCCTAGTTTTCTGTTTGTCATACATACACTAGGTTATTGAGTTCCATTAATTCTCCATTTTTAAAAATCAGCACAATGCTCTTGCTGGTTGCTGCTGTAGAATACAGTTGCAGTTCTAGGAATGTTGTTCTTCTTAATTCCTATCTTATTTCTCCATTATTTCCTTTGAGAGTCCGTACTTTTTTTTAATTTCTCCCAATGAGTTTTTATTATTTTATCAGATTCTATAGAGTATCCATTTGACAGTTTGATTGCTGTGCCAATAAAGTAGAAATTATTTACTTAGGTAGCATTGTCATTTTTATTATGTAGTCACAAGCCAGACATAAACTCTTTTTTTTCTTTTGTAAATGGTATTTTATTTTTTCCAATTATATATAAAGATAGTTTTCAGCATTCATTTTTTGTAAGATTTTGAGTTCCAGGTTTCTTCTTCTTCCGTCCCCAAGACAGCAAGCAGTCTGATATAGATTATACATGTAATGCCGCATATTTCTGCAGCTATTTAAAATGCTTCTTTCCTTCCTGTTTAGGCACTGGGTCTCCCTCTCTCCCCCAGGGCAGGGGCCCTGCTCACACAGGGATTACAGGCTCGCACCACCACGGCCCCCATTCCTTATTTTTAGGGATGCTTTGGCATCGGATCTATGCAAGGGTTCATTGTGTTTTGATAGCTTGATATGCAGATACTTTATGCATTTTGAAGTTATTCTGAGTGGGATTTCCCTTTCTGTTGTCGCTTCACTAGATTTGATGTCATCATGTGGAAAAGCTGTGGGTTTTTATCGGTTAATTTTGTGGCCTGCAGCATTGCTGAAGCTATTAACTGGCTCAGTTAGTTTCTTTGCCGATTCCCTAGGACTTTCTAGGCGAGTCGTCGTGTGGTCAGCATTTGAGGACAGTTTTGTCCCCTCTTTGCCTTAGTACCTTTGATTTCTTTCCCTCGCCTTACTGATGTGCTGGCATTTGTACAACTCAGCTAATAATGGGAAGGGGGAGAATGGACTGAAGGAGCTGGGGATATTGAGGTTAGAGAAGAGAAATTTAAGGAGGAATGAGAACTGTGCTAGAGTCTTTGAAGGCTGTCCTGAGGACAGCGTGGCCCAGAGGGCAGAATTAGGAGCTGTATGTGGAAACCACAGAGAAGCTAGTGTGGAGGAAGTGAGGCAGAAGCTGCCCAGGGTGGTCAGAGGCACCGTCTCGGCAGGGACGATCTGACTTTTCCACAAATGCTCGTTCTCGGCTGTGGTTTGGGGATTCAGGGGCAAAGTGCACGATTGTCTCATGGGTCGTTTATGGAAAGGAAGTTTTCAGGACGAACTTGAGCGATGAAGGGAAACTGCTGGGATCACTGAGTCGGGGACAGAGCGAGGCTGACGGTCACCAGGTCACCAGGAGACATGTGGAGGAGTGGTCCCCGCTTACGCAGGAATGTGTTTGATTTAGGAGTCAGTGACCTTCAGGGACGTGGCCGTGGACTTCACCCAGGAGGAGTGGAGACGTCTGGATCCTGCCCAGAGGGCCCTCTACAGGTTCGTGATGTTGGAGAACTATGAGAACTTCATCTCCCTCGGTAAGCACCCCGTTGGTCCCCTGGGACTCAGGTCGGGCCCCTGGGGAGCCTTTGCAGGCTCCCTTGCTGCAGATACTTAGCTGTGTTTTGGCCTGTTGTGCAAGGATATTCAGCACTATGTATCACGTGAGGAAAGACTCAGACCCTTTATGGCCAAGAGAATTTCTGTTCTTTGTTCCCAAGTGGAAGGTTTTTGCTTTGTACCCATGGAAATGCCACGACTTCCCTGTGCTAGCCCTGAGTCTGCAGCCTCCCTAATCCCTGAACCCTTCAGTCTAAGGTCTTCTTAGCATCCCAGGGGCATTAGGAAACTGCTTCCTCTTCACCCAGAGATCATTGGGGCACCAGGGAGCTCTGTGCTGCATGGATTCTGTTCTTTCTAGACCTGATGCCCCATGAGTCAAGCAGATGTCATGTCTTAGGGTAACTTTGTATCTCCCCACGTCCTCCATACAGTTCTTACTACACAGGAAATACCTAATGCTGGATGAATCCTAAAAATATACATGTACGCTCAGGGAAGACCACAGATTGCAGATCACAGGTGTGAACACACTGTTGCCCTGGCCTGAAAGCGCCTGCTGCTCTGAGGCCCAGCCAGAGTGGCGCACTGCGGTTCTTCTCACAGGATATTAACGCCACCGCCTCCTCTCACTGTGTTACTCAGTCGCTAGTGACGCTTGCCCGGGATCTTCTGGTATTCTCTCTACATTTTATTCCTACTGAGATGTACACGTGCCACATTCCCTTGATCGAATGTGTGCTCCTTGTAGGCAACAGTTATTTCATTTTTGTCTTTTTGTCCCCAATGCCTGGCACTGTTCTTGGCCCATATTAGAAGCTTAAGATATCGTTATCTTGGGGGAAGTCTGTGGAAAGGTCTTAACTTTTCAGAGTGGGTAAAATGAGCTGCTGCTTTCCCAGCCACAGCTCTATCTGTGACCCATGCTCAAATCCTCAAAAGCTCTGTGATCTCTTCAGTTTCAAAGTACCTTCTAATAATGCAGATTAAAATTCATATACTCCTGGGGCAGCTAGGTGGTACAGTGGATGGAGCACCAGCCCTGAAATCAGGAGGACCTGAGTTCAAATGTAGCCTCAGACCAAACACCTGACACTTACTAGCTGTGTGACCTCGGGCAAGTCACTTAACCCCAATTGCCTTAAAAAAAAAATTCACATACTCCTGACTCTCTGCTGTGAGTATCGTCCGTGTCTTCCCATTGGCCAGGCCTGGGGATCCTCTGGCCATGCTGGATGCTTTCATTGCTTTCTCCTTGTATCCTCGGGGAGCGAGGGGAGCCATTCTGTGCACGCCCCCGTGACTCGTCCCTCTTCTCTCCGTGTCATGCTTCCTTGATGAAATGTCTTTTCTGGAGTTCCTCATGTTTAATATGATGCCCCTGTGTGCCCTCACCATTGCCCACAGTGTCATATTCGTGTTTAATTCTCTGGACACTGTTAAATTCCATTCTTTTCAGCACCACAAACAGAGTGTTGGGCCTTTGTTTCCATTGGAAGCCTCTGGTCATTGAAGATTTGTAATTTCTATGTAAGTTCACCAAAGGTGTTCCCCATAGTGGTGGAAGAGGGATTCTCTGTGGACAGTATTTGTTAAGTGCCTGCTATGTGCAAAGTACTGCAGATACAAATACAGGAAAACGAGATGGTCCATGCTCTCAAAGAGCTTCGCATATAAAGGAGAGCTGAAAATCACAGAGTAGAAAGTGGGAAGGAGAGGGAAGGAGAGTAGTGGTTCACAGGGGTAAGGCTTCTGATGAGGAGAGAGCACCATGTGGAAAGAGAATTGAGCGGGGAGAGGTCCTCTAGGCAGAGATGTCAAACACATGGTCTACAACACTGCTAAGGATGGCTCGAACCAGATTTAAATGTAGTTCCTATCTGATTGTTATGTGTCGATATATTAATAAAAAAAGAAAATATAAACGTGTTGTTTTCTAAGTCAGTATGTAATCCTCAGGGACCCTTATATATGCTTTGATGGCCCCTGTTTCTGAGTTTGACACCATTGATCTAGAGTAGTGTTTTTAAATGCGTAAAGTAAAATACTTAGCATTACAAAGGAAACCAATTCTATTGATATGCAATTATCACAATATTAAAAATAACAACAGCAACAACAAAAAACCCAACCAGGTTAATTGATCCCAGGTTAAAAATCCCTGATAAAGAACCTGCCCACTGTTCTGCATATATGGAAGTGACGGAACAAACAGAGACCTCGGGCCAGGAATAGTGACCTGGACCCTCTGGAATACAATATAGAACATACTCCAAAGGTTGTTTCTTGCTTTACCATAAAGAGAACTTCATTCTTTGCATGTTTTCTGTTCCTAGCACTTTATCATTTCTGTGCCTATGTGTAGGGCTTCCTGTTTCTAAAGTGGATGTGATCTCCCTGTTGGAGAGAGGGGAAGCCCCACGGCGGCCCGAGGGAGGAGGGCGAGGGCCCCCTGGCCTTTGTCATGGTGAGTGAGTGAAACCTTTTCAGTCTTCAGAGTCAAGATTGCCAGTTTTGTCTCCTGTGATCTTCTCTAGCTATCCCTGGTTTGGTCCGGACCTCTTTCCCTGTCCGTGTTGTGTATCTTGTCCCCAGTTATCTCATGTGTTCATTTCATGGCCTTTTTTAATCTATATCATGTATCTCTCAGGAATGTGTTGTGGCTCATGGTGTGAGATGTTGGTCTAAACCTGATTTCTCCCTGACTGCTTTCTAATTTTCCAGCAGTTCCTTGAATAGTCTTAGGTACCACCTGAAGTTGTTACTTTTGCATCTTCTGTTCCATTGATGAACTTTTCTGTTTGTTTATTTATTTATTTTTACCAGCATCAGACTGTCGATGGGTACAGCTTTGTGTGCAGCTTGAGATCTGGCACTGCCAAACCCCATGCCTTGCTGTGTCTTTTCATTGTTTCTCCTTTGTCTCTTCAGTCTCCCCTTGGCTCCTGCCTTATCTATTCATTCCATTCACACGGCCACCACCCAAGCCTAGACTATTGCAATAGCTTCCTAATTGGTCTCTTGGACTCAAGTGTGCATTTTGTGTGATGTAGAGTACTCAGTTTTACAGGGTAAGTTATTCTTTGTTATAAGTCTTAATCTTTTTGCCTTTTGGAATAGAGTATACCAAGATCTTTTCTCTTTTGCCGTAGTTGTAGCATAGTCTGATGTGATCCGGACTGGGGTTCTTTGGCATTTGAACTCTTTCTGGATGCTTGGGGTTTTTTTGGTTTGTTTTTTGATATGGCTATTACGGATTTTGGCTGACATAACTTTTTTTTTTTTTTAAAGGAATTCTCTGTTGTCCTGATTTGTTTTGTTTTGTTTTTTTCTTCCGGGAGATGACTGGTAGATGCTTTCTATTTAACTTTGTCCACTAGTTCTAATGTATCTGGACAGTTTTCTTTTATGATTCAGTGAAATATGGTGCCAAGGTTTTACGGAATCAAGTCTTAAATTTTCGCCCGTTAATCTGTTTTCTAGGTTCCTTGTGTTTAATAGTAGTTGCCCTACATTTATTTCTGTTTTTTTAGTCTTTTGATTTTGTTCTTACTTTTCATGGTATCTTATAGAGTTACTGAGTTCTTATTGTTCTTTTCCATTCACTAACTGCTCCTTCAGTAGGGTTTTCTACCTCCTAAACATTTTATTCTCTGTCCAATTTTTTTTCTTTCATGTTTTACCTCTTATTTAATTTCTTCTAGTCCTTTTGGCCAGGTCATTCTTTTCTTTAAAGCTGTATTTGAACTTATAGAGTTATTCTCTTCTAGAATTTCAGTGCTTCTTAAACTGTGGGGTTTTAACCCACAGTTTAAGAAACTCCAAAGGGGTCACAAGTAGAAAAAGTTTAAGAAGCCCTGTTTTAGGTAATCCATGGTATTTCTTTATTATGTTAGGTACTGTCTTCTCTTTACTCATACCTCTAGGCTTGGTAACTGGATTGAGAATTTGTGCTTGTACTCCAAGCTGAGTGGCTGAGCTCTGCTTACCCTGTGGCCCTCTGGAACCTGGACACTACTACTGCCTCTGCTCATTTGCTTTGTAGTTCTTTGCTAACATAAAAAAGTACTGTTATTAATATTCTGATGTTTGTGCATCCTTTCCTCCTATCTTTGGCTTTTTTGTAGTATGTGCCTCACAGTAGATTCTGGGTCAAGAGATGTGGATATCTTAATTGCTTTCTGAGCATAATTCCAAATTGTGTTTGGTTCAGTTCCCAGTTCTACCAAGAGTACGCCACTGTCCCTGCATTAATTCAGAAAGAGACTAAAATATTGAGCCAGAAGTCTCGCTGATAGACATACAGTCCAGGGAGGTCAAAGACAGAATGGTTTTATATATATATTCCTATATCTCCACCCTCTCCGCCCATTATTTCCCATGAGAATTTCAATATTTATTTTTCCAAATGAATTCTTACTTTGTCTAGCTTCATAAAGAATGACCTTGGTTTTCTTGGCATAACACTAAATATATAAATTAATATAATTAGTATTGACAGTTTTTATTATTTAGATCCATCTCAACCTTGAACAATGCACATATCTCCAGTATGTAAGTTGTTCTTTATTTCATAATTGTATTTATGCTTTGAGTGTACCTTAGGAGATTGACTACCAAATATTTTATTCCTTTTGTATTTATTTTGATAGGAACTTCCTCTTCTATTTTTTCCTCCTGTATTTTATATTTGATATTGTTGGTTTTGTGGCTTTATTTTATATCCTGTAAATTAAAATTTTTCCAATGGGCTTGATGAGTTTCATTGCTGATTTTCTAGGATTTTTTTTTTAAAGAAACCATCATTTTATCAGTCAGTATTTATAATCTCTTTGTCAGTGTTTATGTTTTTAATTTCTTTATCTTGTCTTAACTGTAGCTTTTGTAGAACTATGCCAAATAACATTGCAGAAAATCATATCCATGCTTTAGTCCTGGTGAATTACTAATGAATATTGATGCAAAATGTTGGAGTAAATCCTAGCAAAAATGCTACAGCAACATAGGCAAAAAATTATTCACTATAACCAAGTTGGATTTATACCAGGAATATAAGAATGGCTCCAAATTAGAAACTTAATGTAATTAATTGTATTAAAAACAACAATGCCTCTAATTCCATGATTATATCAATAAATGCAGAAAAAGTCTGTGACCATATATAGCATTCATTTATGCCAAAATACTCCATAAAGTCTGGGCTTAGATGGTGCATTTTTAATATGAGGGAAATTATATGAATAAAATGAAAAGTTAGCATTTTTTATAATTGTCTTTCACTTCACTTTCCCTTAGATAGTACTTGTTCTACATGGCCCAAATTAACATCTTGCTCTTTGTGTAAGAGACATTAACTAGAAGTTTAAGATATAATGAAGGTTCTTTTCAGTCCAGCCAAAAGTAATGAGTGACCTTTTTTTCTTTTTTTTTTTCTTTTTTTTTTTCATTTCTTTCAGATTCTCATAGTTGGCAGACCATGTTTGAAACCAAGGACTCAAATGTAATTCAGGGCATTTGCATGGGACCATCCGCAAAGAAAAGTCTGCCAAATGACAGTCCCTGGCATCCCAAAATGAGAAAACTTGGGGGATATGACACAGAAAACCAGATGGGCAACCAGAATGGAAATTCCCAACAAGTAATAGTCACTCCCAGAACAACTCCTGTTGGGAGAAGTTTTAGTCTGGAGTCGCTCTTTCTCGCACTATGGAGAGGCAGTATGGAAGAAAGTCTTTCTAAATATAAGACACTTGGACCGAACTTCAGGGATTTTTCAGACCTAATTACATGTAATACTTTTTCTTTGGGAAAGAATCTTTCTAAGTACAGCACATGCAGGAAGCCCTTTAGTTACCCCTCAGACCTAATCGAATTTCATAGAGAACAAGTTGGAGAAAAGCCACATGCATACAATGAATGTGAGAAAGCTGGTAGCAGAAGGTCAAGTATTAATAAACTTCAGAGAATTTCTATTAGAGAGAAACATTATGGATGTAATCAGTATGGGAAAGCCTTCAACCACAGGGGGAGATTGACCAAATTTAAAAAGATTCATACTAGAGACAAACTCTTTGAATGTAATGAATGTGGAAGAAGCTTCAGCCAAAAGGCATACCTTATTTATCATCAGAAAACTCATACTGGCATGAAACCCTTTGAATGTAATGAATGTTGGAAAACTTTCAATAAGAGGGGGCATCTTATTCGACATCAGAGAACTCATACTGGAGTCAAACCTTTTGAATGTAATGTATGTGGGAAAGGCTTCAGCCAAAGGGGAAACCTTATTAGCCACCAGAGAACTCATACTGGAGAGAAACCCTTTGCCTGCAGTGAATGTGGAAGAGCCTTTAGTCGGAGGACACATCTCATTTATCATCAGAGAAATCACACCGGAGTGAAACCCTTTGAATGTAACGAATGTGGGAAAGCTTTCAGTGAGAAGGGAAGCCTTACTAGACATCAGAGAGCTCATACTGGGGTGAAACCCTTTGAATGTAATGAATGTGGGAAAGCCTTCCGAGAGAAGGGATGCCTTAAGAGACATCAGAGGATTCATAGTGGAGTGAAACCCTTTGAATGTAACGAATGTGGCAAAACCTTCAGTAAACTAGAAACCCTTATTAGCCATCAGAGAACTCATACTGGAGTAAAACCCTTTGAATGTAATGAATGTGGGAAAGCTTTCCAAGAAAGGGGATGCCTTAATAGACATCAGAGAACTCATACTGGAGTGAAACCATTTGAATGTAATGACTGTGGAAAAACCTTTCAGGAGAGAGGATGTCTTAAGAGACATCAAAGAACTCATACTGGACTGAAACCCTTCACATGTGATGAATGTGGAAAAGCTTTCCGAGAGCGGGGATGCCTTAATAGACATCAGAGAACTCATAGTGGAGTGAAATCATTTACATGTAATGAATGTGGGAAAGCATTCAGTGAGAAGGGAAAGCTGATTAGACATCAGAGAACTCACACTGGAGAGAAAACATTTGGATGTAATGAATGTGGGAGAAACTTCAGCCGGAGAGCAAATCTTATTAGACATCAAAGAACTCATACTGGAGAGAAGCCCCTTGCATGCCACGCATATGAAAAAGCCATTAGTGAGAGTACACGCTTCATTTATCATCAAAGAATTCATACTGGAGAGAAATCTGTTGACTGTGATGAATTTGGGAATGTCTTTAGCCAGCATGCATAACTTATCATCCATCAGAAAACTCGGAGGGCTTTAGCAAGAAGGGATACCATATTTAACAACAGAGAATTCATACTGGAATGAACCTTTTTTAACACCTTCATTTAGAACAGTAGGCCAAAGTAAATGCCCATGAAGAGGCAGCTGGTGGCTAAGTGGATAGAGCACTGGACCTGAGTTTAAATCCAGCCTCAGACATTTCCTAACTGTGTGACCCTGGGCAAGTTACTTAACCTGACTGCCTGAAAAAATGGATCCACTGAAGAAGGAAATGACAAACTACTCTGGTATCCTTGCCAAGAAAACCCCAGATGGGGTCATGAAGGGTTGGACATGACTGAAATGACTAAACAATAACAACAAATGCCCATTGATTGGGGAATGGCTAAACGTCGTGTTGCATGAATGCAGTGATATAATACTGCTCCTATAGAAATGAGTATCAATGTGTAACATTGCATTATCTTGAGTAAATTTAATAAAGGTAGACTGAGGGACAGACTAAGCAAGATCAGTTTATTAACGGTAATATGTATAACTGTTAACAAAGCAAGTCACAGTGGCAACCTCAGCAAAGCCAGTGACCCCAGAGAAGGAGGAGACCCTCTTTATTAACATATAACAAAGAAGGGGTCTTGGTAGGCTTGGAGACAAGGTGATAGGTTGTAGGGTCGGGACAAGAACATTATGATTGTTTATACTAAGAAAGATGAGCTGGCATCCAGGTAAGGCTCATCATTTTCCTCTAACATTTAAGGAATATTAATTGTTTATGGAACCCATCTGTATCTTGTAGTCTTTGCTAAGAGATCACAACTAACAGACTTGCTGTCTAATTCCTTCAACTACATAAAAACAGGAAAGGACAGATAACATATCTTTCGGGATGGTAATTTTATGGGGTTAAACCAACATATCCATGAGGTATCCTAGGAGATACCAGCAGGAAAGATATTAATATTTCTTTTAAACTAACTTTAAGCTGGCTTAGCTGGATTCCTAAGCTCAAGTCAAGCCAGGTGGATGCAGACCCAATTATAAAGTTAAATCAGCATAAAATCAGTTACATCGTGGAATCAGTAGAGAAGAAATTAGAAGTAATATTAATTTTTTATATTTTCAGCATATACTATCAGAGTTGTTTGGTGTGTTGATTAATTTTGCTTAACTATTTTCCCCCCTTCATTCTTTGTTAAATTGAATATTTCTCTGGAAAGGTAAGGAAAGAGGAATAGATTCAGAAAAAAAAAGGTGACATAAATGCAATATGTTAATAGTAACCTATACTAATATTATTTGCTTCCCTCCCGTCCCCTCCCCAGGTTACTAAACTGATAGATCAGAGGAGTGCTGTAGATAAGGTTTACTTCAGCTTTAGCAAATCATTTGATCAAGTCAAAAACTATTCTTGTGGGCTAGAAAATAGTAAAATTAGAATGTTCCAAAACACATGGAAATTCAGGTCAGCTCCAAAGAGTGGTCAATGAGTATGTCAAATTAGAAGGCATATATGATGTGCTTCATGAAATTGTGCTTTTACTGATGATGGACACAGACATAGATAGTAAAATTATCAAATTTGCAGATGACAGTTTGAAGGGATAACTAACTTAGTCAGCATCTAGATCCCAGGGTCTCAACTATTGGAATCGGGAAGACCTGAGTTCAAATCATCCTCAGACATTTACTAGCTGTGTGACTCTGGGCAAGTCACTTAACCCTGTTTGCCTCAGTTTCCTCATCTGTAAAATGTTCTGGAGAAGGAAATAGCAAACCACTCCAGTGTCTTTGCCAAGAAAACCACAAATGGGGTCATGGAGAGTCACAACTGAAACAACTGAACAACAAAATGTTAGTTTTTGGAATTTGGGCATAGTCCAACAGTAATTTTTAATATTGAAATTTCAATCTGAGTTGTTTGTGTGATATGACAACCAAGAAATACAGTGCCATCTTTGGCTACATAAAGGGACGCATAGTTTCCAGGAATGAGAAGGTAACAGTCTTGCTACCCTCTGTTCTGGTCAGACACTATCTAGATTATTGTGCTTGGTTCTGGGCACTGTGTTTTAAGGACGTTGTTAAGATTAATTTATTCCAAAGGCAGTGGAAGGTGGAGGGCTTTAGGTTCATTGCCATGTGAGTGTCAGTTCTGCGGTGTCATAATCGTGGTCTTCAAGCATCTGGAGGACTATTGAGTGGAAGAGGGATCACGCTTGTCCTGCTTGACCTTAAAAGGCAGAGCTAGGAGCAGGGAGTGGAAATTCCCAAAAGGCACCTTGTACTTGATGTAACAAAAAACTTCTCCCAAAATCGATTCAGACTTGGGGTGAGTTGTTTCAGGAGGCAGTGAGATCCCTTGAATTGAAGATACTAATACTGAATAACGGCAAAAGAATAAAATGAAGATTGAATAACCACTGAGCAGTTGTCAAGGGATTCTTTTTCAAATGTGGGTTGGACTAGGTCACCTTTCCAACTTGAAATTCAGTAATTTTGTCTGAATCTGTAATTCTGTGACCATTGCAAAGACTTCCAGTCAGAGAGTGTGCAATGGTAATTGTCAGAGAAATACTCACTGGAGATGTAGCAATAAGAAAGACAGCTTATAATCATTCCTGTCTTGGCATGAGGGACTCCTCTTTTAAATCGGTCACCATTTTGATGTAAAATGAGCAGTTATTTCCAAACTCCTTTGTTCCTCCTCTTCGTTTCCCCTGGTGTGCTGGCCATAGTGCGTATTTGCTTTGTTCTGCTTCTTCAAAGTCACTGGCATTAACAAATTCATGCCCCACTTTCAAGGATAGCTGTCAATCTAGATTGAATGCCTACTAAACTCTATGGGGTGTCCCAAAAGTCTCAGTCCAGTTTTGAGCTTTAATAAATTCAGAAATCTATATGCTGCAGACTTTCCTCAACATTTGAAGGTTTGATGATTTAAGGTTTTGAAACATTAATGTTTCTTATTAAAATTCACTGTAACCACTGTCTTGTGCAATACATTACTCCAGTTGCTTTCTGAACTTTGTAAAAACTTTAATTAGTCTCTCAATGATTGAAAAGATTGCATTTTTAATCCTAGCCATAAGATCACTCAAAAGTCTGAATGCAGATCAAAGCATACTGTTTTTCACTTTCTGTGTGGTTTTTTCCTTTGGGTTTGTGTCTTCTTTCACAACATGATTAATAGGGTAATATGTTTTGCATGATTGAACATGTTTAACCTATATCCAATTGCTTACTGTCTCAGGGAGGGGGGAGGTAAGAGAGGGAGAGAAAATTCAGAACTCAAAAAAATTTTTTAAATGAATGTTTAAAAAATTGTCATTACATGTAACTGGAGAAAAATGAAATATTATTTTAAAAAGATCATCCAAAGAATGAGTTTTTAATGCATTTCTAACAGCTTTTACATGACGTCACAAGAAAAAGTAATGGACGAAGATCAGGTGACCAAGCAAGAGAACCTCCTCTACCAGTCCACCAGCCTGAGACAACGTCTTTCAGAAACTCGTACAGGCAGCGAGTAATGACAGGGTGCCTCATCTTCAAATTAAAATTTCATTCAAAATTTACAAAATTAAAGCATAAAGAAATTTAATTAAATTTTCAAATGATATTTTTTATGTTTATAGTGTTTCTATTTCTGAAGTTGTTAAAGGTTAAAATGAAGACTTTTGGAACTCCCTACGTGTATATTGCTCGAAAATTGTTTAAAGCCCACTTGACAATAGTGCTGTCATTCAACTTCCTTCTTCCCGTCATGGTTAATAATGAAGTTTCTCTACCTAGCCTTCCACAAAGTTTACATGCTGTGTTTCTTTCTTACTTTTTTTTTTTTTAACCATAACTGAGAGAAGCTAATGAATATGGGAAGGGTTTTAGGCATAGAGGAAAACACTTGTCATTAAAAAAAAAGTCTTCCTGAAAAGAAATCTCCTTTGCTAGATCTTCATCCAAATCTTGCCCACTGACCCTGGTTGTCCCAATAGGAGCTTATGTTCCACCTGGGGAAATAGCATATACATAGAAACACATAAAAATATGTCGGTATAGAAACTGTAAAACAAACAAAACCCTTTTGTCACTAGCGGCTGAAGGGATCCAGAAATATTTCGTGTAGGAGTATGTCACGACTTTCACGTGGAATGACACCTTGACGAAGAGATGTGGGCCAAGGACTTGATGTGGGGGGTAAAGCGTGTATTATTCATAGGACAGAACCTTGTCTTGCTGTGAACATGACACAGCATGCTATCCATCCAGTAGGACAGCGCCCCCTGGCTGCGCACTGCTGCCTCTTGCACTCCTCATGCTGTAGTCCCTACCATTTTGTACGTTGTGTGAAACACAGGCATTGAACAAAAGCCAGGTAACTGATGTCTGTATAAGAGAAAATTAAGTGTATGATATCATCCCGGTACATTTTGCTGTACATTTTCGTGTTTAGGTTCTCCCACTGTTTAAAAAAAATCTGATATGTACAAGTCTCTGGGTAGTGTACCCACATTAGAGCAAAACACAGGTACTAGGAGAAAAAAAAAAGCAGAATGTTTGTGAATTGTAGTTGTCAGAAATAGCATGGCAGGCCTTATTTGTGAAGAATAATTGCTTTTAGCACATGGAAGTAGTTTTTCACATTTCTTTGTATAAAGTTTGTATTAAATTATTGTTTTGGGGGAAAAAATGTGTCACAAGCAGAATTTTGAAGGAAACAGGATTCTGAGAGGTTGAGTTCATGCTGTGTGCTTCATGCTGCAATACTGTGTGTGTATGTGTGTGTGTTGCCCTAGGACCTGCTTTCCTGATCGGGGAGCCTTTGGAAAGAATCAACATTCCATGAAGGGTCCCGCTATATGCACATCATTTCCTGCTCAATTCTCTGGAGCGCACCTGCTCACCAACAGCCTCGCCCCTTAAGAGGTCACCTCACCATACTCCCTTCTGTCCAGCTCCCCTTTATGTTTTGTCTTCCCAAATTAAAGTGTAAGTTCCTTCCTGACACTTAGCATAGTGCTGGCAAAGGGTAAGCACTTAATAAATGCTTTATTTGTCTTTATCTGGATGAATTAAAAAGCATTTTAAAAGTTAAATTTTTTAAATTATCAAGCATTTATTTTTTTCTTTCCCACCTCTCCCCCTGCTGAAAAAGAAATCAGGAAAGCCCTCATAATAAAGAAGCAT